TCTACTTGAAAGGCAGGGAGAGAGAGAGAGAGAGAGAGAGGGAGACAGAGAGAGGGAGGGAGGGAGGGAGGACAGGTTAATCAATCATCTGCTGCTTTACTCCTGAAATGCCTGAAAAAGGCAGGGCTAGGCCAGGCTGAAGGCAAGAGCATGAACTTCATCCAGGTCTCCCATGCAGGAAGCAAGGGTCCAAGAACTTGAGTCATCATTTGCTGCTTCCAGGATGTATTAGTAGCCAGCTGGACTGGAGGTAAAGGAGCCAGGGCTCAAACTGGCAGCCTGATATGGGATGAGATTCCCAAAGGGTGGCTTAACCCACTGCACCACCATGCCCACTCCCATAATTATTTTTTGGTTTTCTTCTCTGTGATCAATAATACAAGTTATACCAGCTTAACAAGGCTAGTTAACCAAGAGATCATATTAAACAAAGTTAGCACTCCCTGCCCTCACAAGTAAACAGAATAGGAAAGCGATGGCTCCAATGCAGTCAGCAAGTCAGCAGCAATGCTAACAGCAAAGTGCATGCGCCCTAAATTGAAACCTAATGTCCACAATAGGAGTAGGGAATTTAAGAAGTTTTGCTCCTGAGGGGTATCTTTTTTTTTAAGATTTATTTCTTTATTTATTTTAAAAGCAGAGTTACAGCGAGGCAGAGAGAGAGACAGAGAGAGAGACAGAGAGAGAGAGAGGTCTTCCATCCGCTGGTTCACTCCTAAGATGGCTGCAATGGCTGGAGCTGTGCTGATCCGAAGCCAGGAGCCAGGAGCTTCCTCCAGGTCTCTCATGCAGGTGCAGGGGCCCAAGGACTTGAGCCATCCTCCACTGCTATCCCAGGCATAACAGAGAGCTGGATCGGAAGTGGAGCAGCCAGCACTTGAACCAGCGTGCCTATATAGGATATACTGCAGGCAGTGGCTTTACCCACTACGCCATAGCACCAACCCCTGAGGGTATCTTAAAACCACGTTTATTCTTTTTGTATTTGCTTTTTCTTCACCTTTCCTTGTACCCTGCCCTTTTATTTCTTTCCCTCTTGCTTTTAGGTTCACTGGAAGCCTTCTCTTAGCATTTAATACTTGAAAGTCCTTAATCTACTTCTGGTAATGTCAGTAGTTCCTCTCCAGCCAATCTGTCCTAAAATGACCACTGTATACTAGATGAAAGACATCAATACTCACTGAAGACACTGCTGAAAGATCATGGGCAGATGGGAGTTGAGCTGAGAAATGGTACTGGATGAATTTCTTACTGTAGATCACTTTCAGCCCGGAAGTCCCCAGTATGTGTCTTACAAGAATTACTGACAGGGGCCTACATTATGGCACAGCAGGAAAAGCCACTGCCTGCAAAGCTGGCATCTCATATGGGCACTGGTTTGAGTCCTAGCTGCTCCATTTCAGATCCAATCTCCTGTTAATGTGCTTGGGAAAGCTGTAGAAGATGGCCCAAGTGCCTGGGTTCCTGCCACTCATATAGGAGACTCAGATAGGGTTCTAGGCTCTTGGCTTTGGCCTGGCCCAGCTCTGGACATCTGGGGAGTGAACCAGTGGATGGAAGACCTCTCTCTCTGTCTCTTCCTCTCTCCCTGTAACTTTGCCTTTCAAATAAATAAATAAATGTTTTTTTTTTTTTTGACAGGCAGAGTTAGAATAAATAAATCTTTTTTTTTTTTTTTAAAAGAAAGAATTACCTAAAACTACAGTAAGAACCCTTTGGTTTTTTTGATTTGAAAAACTACACAATAGAATTTGAAGCAATATAGCCACAATAAGTGAGGGGGAAATCCCCAGAAGAAGAAAGCTTCACGGGTTCAATTTCTACATCCAGCTCTGGCTCTGACTCTAGCTTCTTACAAACGCATACCCTGGGAGGCAGCAGATGACAGACGGCTCAAGTGCTTGGGTCCCTGCCGTACACATGTGAGACCAGGACTGAATTCTGGGATCCTGGCTTTGGCCTGGCCTGGTCCTGGCTGTTGCAGCAGGCCTCTAGAGAGTAAATCAGCAGATGGAAAATCTCTTTTCAGTTCTTTCCATGTTTTTTAAAAATAATTTTTTAAAAAATTATTTATTTACTTATTTGAAAGGCAGAGTTAGAGAGAGAGAGAGAATCTTTCATCTGCTGGTTCACTCCTCAAATAGCCACAATGACTGGAGCTGAGCCAATTTGAAGCCAGGAGCCAGGAGTTTCATATGGGTCTCTCATGTGGGTAGCAGAGATCCAAATACTTGGGCCATTTTCCACTGCTTTTCCCAGATGCATTAGCAGGGAGTTGGATAGAAAATGAAACAGTGGGACCCAAACCAGTGCCAATATGGGATGCTGGCATTGCAAGATGGCAGTTCAATCCCCTATGTCACAGCACTGGCTCTGGTCTTTCAAATAAAATGAAAATAAATAAATAAAAACAATTGAAAGCCAGATATAAGAAACCAGAATTCTTAAGAAAATTTTAAAAAATTTCATCCCAAGGAAGGTAGCAACATGGAACACAGGAATAAAAATAAAAATTGGAAATCAAATAGTAAAAGTAATACGTTTAAATCCAACCAAATCAACAATTATGTTAAATGTTAATGGACTGAACACACCAATTAAAAGTCAGATATTATAAAAATGGGTAAAAAAGCAAAACTCACTTGGGTTCTTAAAGACTGTTTATAAAAGATTTACTTTAGAGTAAGGGAAAAGAGATGACTATAGACTAAGTTAGAAATCAGTAGTAACATAGGTTAAAAAACACACAAACCAAATATCTGAAAATTAAAAGAAATACTTCTAAATACATAGATTAAAAAGGAAGTCACAGGAAATATAAAGTATTTAAAAATGACAGATAATAAAAATACTAGATATCAATGAATGGGATGGGAGAAGGAGTGGGAGATGGGATGGTTGCGGGTGGGAGGGAGGTTATGGGGGAAAAAAGCTGCTATAATCCAAAAGTTGTACTTTGGGAATTTATATTTATTAAATAAAAGTTAAAAAAAAAACCTAGATATCAAAATTTGTGAGACTACTGCAATAGTACAGGGAGAAATATGCATCCTTACATTCAAATTAGAAAATTTTCAAATCAATGTACCATTTTAAGAGTTTTAAAATGTAAACTCAAAGTAAGTGGAAGTAAAAAAATAAAAGTAAAATATCAACTAATTAGAAAAACACAGGAACCATAGGAAAACTAACAAAATCAAGTGTAGTTCATTGAAAATATCAACAAAATTGATAAATCCCACAACTGATGGGATAAACAAAAGGAAGGGGAACTATCATTACCAGGAATGAAGAAGTAGTTATCATTACAGATCACAATACCATCAAAAAATAATTAGGGAACATTATGACAACATTATGCTAATAAACAATTCACATGTGAGTCTAACTTGATGGACTGAAAAGATACTCAGGCAAACCCACAGGAAGGCAAAAGAGGTATTCTAAGGACTCATGAACCAAAGGATAAATTCCGTAACAAAAAACTAGTTTCCTAAGTTAAAAAGAACCTGAGGTACTGCAATTCTCATTTCAGGGCTACAAATAAGACTGCCATAGTTCAAAGTAGTATATCACCAATACAGAATGAGAAAAAAATGGAAGGTAAATTAAAAAAAGAGCAAAGTAAGTTAGTTCTATGTATTTATCTTTAATATTTGTTTGGAGGGCAGAGAGGGGCAGACAGAGGGGGAGTGGGGAACGCATTCCCTGGCTCACTCCCCACATGCCTGCAAAGGCCTCCAGAGCTGGGAGCTGAAACTCAACCCAGGTCTCCCACATGAGTGCAGGAAGCCAATCCTTTGCGCCATCACTACTGTTTCTCAAGGTCTGCATTAGCACGAAGCTGGAGATAGGAGGAGAAGCAGGTATCAAACCCAGGCACTCTGATACCAGGCATGAGTCTCTTTAACCATCAGGTCAACTGGCCACCTCTTTCTAATTATCCAGGGTCTCATGTAATACCAGTAAATTATAGAATTATGGGAAGTGAAAATACTAGGGAGATTTATTACAAATACAAAGAAGCATCTCTGGGTGTTACGAAGTGTCTCTCTGTGCTGTTTCTTACTTTAAAGATATTATGTTCAAGGTACTTCCCTGTCTGGTGGAATATTTGCCCTTTTCTTCATTTAGAAACTGAGGATATTGCTTTCTCCTACATACATTTTTTTTCTTTCAGTTTTGAAACCACTTCTGGCAATCATAACAACTGAAACTGAAGAGGTATCATGCTTCTCCAAAGGCAGAATTTCTATTTCTAATCTCTTCTGAAAATTCAGAAGAAACTGTACACATTCATGGCTGGAAGCTACTCTAGTCAAGGCATGGTATCATTTTTCTTTCTCTTACAGAATCACTTAAGAAAATTATGTAATTCTTCCTTGTATTCTGCAAGTGCCTGGCTCAGAGGAGCTTTTCTTATAAATGCTGAATGAGTATATGACTGAACAGTCACACTTTGGCCTCCTAGTAGAAGCACTGTAATCTAATTCATGTCGCAGAATCAGAACTACTCTGGGGGCTGGCGCTCTGGCATAGTAGGTAAAGTCGCCGCCTGCAATGCCAGCATCCCATATGGGTGCCTGTTTGAGTCCTGGCTGCTCTACTTCAGACCCAGCTCTCTGCTATGGCCTGAGAAAACAGTAGAAGATGGCCCAAGTGCTTGGGCCCCTATACCCATGTGGGAGACCCAGAAGAAGCTCCTGGCTCCTGGCTTCTTCAGCTGCTGTGGCAAATTGGGGAGTGAACCAGCAGATGAAAGATCTCTCTCTGCCTCTCCTTCTCTCTCTGTGTAACTCTTTTGAATAAATAAATCTTAAAAAAAAAAAAAAAACTACTTTGACCTTGCAACCCATCTTTTCAAAGACTGTTGAGATATTAGGTACTTCAAAAACTGGAACAGCCGCTGAGCAATAGGCTGAGGGTAAACGAACTCCAAGGCATGTGAAGATGCATTTTAAATACTAATGTATTTAATAGAATTCTCTAGGACAACTTGCCTGTTCAAACTCCTCCATGTCTACTTCTCCATCTCCATTCAAGTCAAACATCTTGAAGGCAATTTCAAAATTTCTCTGAGGAGCTGCAAGTAAAAGGGGAGAAAGGAAGACAGGAATGAGGGAAAAGAAAAATATTTAGACGTCTTCGACCAAAAAGAAATGAACACTAACATGTAAGCGATACTGTATTTATCTTCTAGATCAACCTTTTAGTAACACTTCTTAAAACTCAAAGAGAATTTTACTGGGGCCAGCAAAAACAGCACTTCATCTTTGTGTTTCTATACTATTTTTCTTAAAATTTTCAGTTTTGCTCCCCACCCTCCCACCCCCCAAACATTTATTTATTTCATTGAAAGGCAGAGCCACAGAAAGAGGCAGAGATCTATTCATTAGTTCACTCCCCAAATGGCCACAACAGCCAGGGCTGGGCCAGGCTGAAGCTGGGCAGTCTGGAACTCCAACCAGGTCTCCCACGTGGGTGGCAGGGGCCCAAGCACTTCGGCCACCTTCTACTGTTTTCCCAGACACATCAGCAGGGAGCTGGAACTGAAGTAGAGCAGCCAAGACTTGCATCAGCCCTCTGAAATGGGATGCTGGGAGTTGCAAGCAGCAGCTTAACCTGCTGTACCACAACACAGGTCCCCAGTTTTGCTTTGGTAGCTACGATCCTCTGAGCTGTGTCACATTAATATTGCTGCTCTGTTGCGTACATCCTCGTATTATTTATCCAGGCAAGACAGTCTGAGATAACACTGCTGCAAAGAAGCTGAAATTTGAAGGCTTTGTCTTGCCTTTAGAACAAGCTGACTTCCTACTTTGTTCTTTCTAGTCTCTCCATTGTCAGGTCAGGAGATCTGTGCATGTCATTCTGCCAGCAGTGATGATGGAAAGCTGTTTCCTTGCGGGTTTACTCATTATCCTTGCAGCTTTGCAGCAAGGCAGAAGAGCATTCCATAGGTGATTCGGCCCCCTGTTTCAATCATGTCAGCTGTACATACAAGTCATGAATAAAGTATACCTAACTGTTAAAATTAAGCTGAGGTCTAAAAAACAAAATGAAAAATGCAAAGCTTGACAAGATGATTTATTTTCTTTCCCTTAAATGAATGTTGAAAACTCCTCATTACTTTTTTAGTGTTCTTAGATCAATCAAAATATAATCTAGGTCCTGGAATAAAATAAACTTAACAGGCTTCTTCCTCCCTTACCACGTTACATGTTTTGGTAAAGAAAACTACATCATTTGTTTGCTTCCTTTGATGCTTCAACTTTACACAACAGTAGAGGAAAAAAGCATCACATATACCCTAATATCACTGAATTTAATCTTAAGTAATGTAACTTTTACTAAATAAGACATAGAGATTATCTGTGAGGTAACAAAACTAAAAAGTGCTTACTATGCAAAATCATAGCATGTCTCTATTCCGATCTTGCTCAGGAATTTGTCAATAGTCATACTTTCTGGGCTTAAAAACAATCCTCACACAGATAGCCAGCTAGGCTGGTGAGTGCCTGGTTCTTAGCTGTCTGCCTCACTTTCTATTGGCTTCCAACAGGGTTGCTCTTCTTGAGGCCACAACGATTATTTTCAGGGAAGGAAGCACCTGGCAGAATTAGTTTTTTGAATACTTATGGCTACTTCTCAAACTTTTTCTACCTGTCTGAATATCATTTACTGAGGAGTTACTATGTGCCAAGCCCTGAACTAGATAATTTTAAGTTATTATCTTATTTTGTACTTGAGATGCCAAAGGTTTTCAATATAATGTTTAAACAGAGAGGAAAACTGGGGCTGACAGCAGCAAATGACTAGCTCAAATATCACAGAGCAAGTATGTGGCAGGACTGGGCACTGACTTAGTCATCACTGACACTGAAGGCAGAGACTTTTCATGATGCTCATGGCCTGCATTGTGAACGCAGAAGCACTCAGGTTAAGAAACACACTCTTCGCGCTGGGATATCTTGACCTAGAAACAGAACCGACTTGCTGCTTTCACAAGTCTCTGTAAAAGCTGATTTTCAAGTTGCTCACCTCAAGGAGAAACTCAATGTTAAAGAAACAGTGCAGAAATGATGCTCCATCACCTGATGTGGCTGTATTAACTGGGGACTCAGAGCAAACAGGGGACTCTCAGGATCTGCAGTTTGAAATTCTGCAACGAATCTCCTTAGACAGGAATGTGCTCTGCTCTTCCTCCCTGTCTCACGCTTGGCCCACTTCACTCACAGGAGTTATCTGCCTCATCTCCACAGATACTTGAGACAGTAACGATGGCAGAAAATATGAAGCCACTGAAGGGTTTTAAGCAGGGGAGTGACGCAATCGGGCCCAGAAAGGGCTTCTCTTGCTACTGTGAAGGATGGGCTGGAAAAGAAGAGCCAGTGTCAGACACCACAGAAGCTCTTGTAAATGCTGAAAATGGGAACTGAGGCGACGGCGGTGGGAACAGGGAGGAAGAAACTAATCTGAAATACCTTAAAAAGTCAAAAATTACGTAACCTAATGATTAGTTGGCTGTGAGGTTTTGCGAGGGAAAAGGGGTGACAGCACGGCTGCCTTGCACTCCTGAGCAGCCTGCATGTCATCACCTAAGAGATAAAATAGATGTGAAAGGGCTGAGACACAGAATGAGCTCAGACAGGATCTGCTGAATCCAGGAGGTCTGCAGCACACTCAGACAGAGATGTTCAGGAGACAGCTGGAAGCGTGGGCTCAGGCTCAGGACAGAGGGTTAGGCTGGGACTGAGCGGCACACACGTGGTTACGGCAAAGAGCCTGACACACACTTGCACAAGGAGAGCTGAGGGCCGAGGAGAAGGGTGAGGGAAGCCAGGATACAGGTGGACCCCAATATTTGTGGTGCAGAGAAAGGGAAGGGCTGCAGTGGCAGGGTGGAGGTGGCACTACTGCACAGGGAGGAATAGAGTCCAAGTGAACAAAATTAGGAAACAATGAGGTGCGAGCCAAGGCAGTCTGTTCCCAAACAGGAACGAAAGCAGCATTCCCTACTCCACTGACCACGGCGGTTTCACAGAACGCTTAACATCTCAGCTTTACCATTATCTGTTATTCTGTCCTGGGATTTCCTTAAAAGCATGATCCCAGATCATTTAAATGACTGAACCCCTTATTCTAGCAAATCACATTTAGTGTCTCTTCCGACAACCAAGGTTAAATTCATTTTACCGAACAACACATACCCCACACTGCTAGAGATTCTTTTTAGCCCAGAGTGGTTACTTTGGATCTGTGCTTCATATGGAGTTACTCTGAGTTGCTTTTTTTTTTTTCTTTTCTAAGATTTATTTTGTATTTACTTGAAAGGCACAGTTACAGAGAGAGGAGAGTACAGGAGAGAGCAGAGGAGGGGAGGGGAAAGGAGAGGAGAGAGGAGGAGAGGAGAGAAAGGCAAAGAGAGGAAGCCTCCATCTTCAGGCCCAGTTTCCAAATGGTTGTAATGACCTGGGCTGGGCCAGGCCAAAGCCAGAAGCCAGGAGCTTCTTTGGGTCTCCCATGAGGGTGCACAAGTACTTGGGCCATCTTTTGCTGCCCTCCCAGGGGCATCAGCAGGGAGCTGGATTCGAAGCGCAAGCAGCCAGGACTCAAACCAGGGCCCATAAGGGATGCTGGCATTGCAGGTGGAGGCCACTGTGACACTGGAGGCTGTGGCCCTGTGCTCTGCCTGCTGTGGAGGTGAGCTGGGCAGCAGCCTCACACAGTCTCACGTGGGCCTTCCCAGTCTAGTGGGGAAGGCCCTCCTAGGAGGTGGTCTCTGCCTAGTGAATCCTCACCTGCTGATTACATCAAAGCACAGGAGACAAACAAGCCGAAAACCCAGCTTGCTTTCAGTGAAGCATGCTACACAGAACACCCTGTCAGGCAATTCTTTTGTAAACTCCCCCATCTCCTCTTAAATGCAGACTTCAGGGTTATTTTTAAATTGAGCTATTCTGGAAAGTTCAAGGTATCCTGGGTATAGGTTAGCTCAAATCCAGTTTCCATAGAAAGGATCTGAGAGGAATTCTTTGGAATCTGAGGCTGCAGAGTGAATGGTGAAGGTTCCCCTTACTGAACACAGCATCAACTACTTTCTTCACAATTTCCAGAACAACCTTAATAGACACTGGAACTGAGTAAAACTGTTAGACTCTATATAAAGTTAATTACTTCACAGATTTACTTAGATTTCCATGATCATTTTTGCTACTATGATATTGAGATAGGTCTGTTTGGTTAATAATTCCTTTTTAAAATATTGTTCTATTAGAGTTGGTCTTCTGTGTATACAGTTAATTGAAAATGGATCTTAGTGGAGAATGGGACTGGGAATGGGAGAGTGAGGAGGACGAGGGTGGGAGAGTGGGTGGGAGGGCAGGTATGGTGGGAAGAATCACTATATTCCTAACGTTGTATTTATGAAATGCATGAAGTCTGCATTCCTTCAATAAAAGGCTTCTTTGGGGGGGAAATAAAAAAATAAAGGAAAAAATATATAGAGGACAACAGAAACAGTAAGCAGGAAGCTGAAACAGAGGATATCTGTATCCTGCCCAATATTGTGAATCAGGACTGCAGTGGAAAGCAGAGAAAAAAATATATTTTCTTGAGATTGAAAACAATTGTTCTATTAGTAATAATAATATCAGTAATAACCCCATGCTCTCTGAAGCACAAGTTCTTTTTACATTTCTTTAGTACTTTAAAAACTTTTATTTTTATTTGTAGTCAGATAAAAAGAGAACGATGACACTAGCTGTCATGGTTATTTCACTTACTGTTCTTTAATAGAAAATACACAGTACTAGGGCACTTATATAAATAAATAAATATTCTAAAAGACTAGGGTTCCAAACTAGGCTTTTTCAACCACATAATGAGTCACTTTATAAATTCTTTTTTTTTAGTAATACTGACAGAATGGTGCAAACCTGAACTTAATGGTTCTAAACAAGTCCTTCCTTCCTTTGATTTATTTAGTTACAGAGAAAGAGGGTGAGACACAGAGATGTTCCATCCACTGTTTCACTCCCCCAAATGGCTGTAAGAGCCAGGGCTGAGCCAGACTGCAGCCAG